ATCAAGATCCTGCGATCCACTGAGCTCCGACAGATATAAAAAATCGACAAGTTATATCAATCGCCCCATGACGATTACTTGTCAGACCCTATTCAGAGTACCATGTAGATGCCACTCGGGACACCCACCAATGGAGGCGACCAAAGGCCTCACCGCGAGGTAACAGAAATATAAGCGTATCTTTGCAAATAATTAACTAATGGTTATCAATAATCGAAATATAATTTCAAATGGTTGTTAACTTGCCGTAGGTAGGAGTTATTCACGTAAAATAGTCGCGGGTGAAATGAAATTAAGGAAATAATCATTCCGGGTTGGGGAAGGAGAGCCACGCTGCACGTGATTCTGATTTCTACCGCTAGGTGGCGACAAGGCATAGTGGGCAACCCTTTTTCTCTCGTACGTTCCAGTAGTGATCGTCGACCTAGGTAAACGGCGCCGGGTAGTTGCCACGACCAACCCACCTGCATGAGCGGAGCCAAGCTAGAATGTAGGGTAGAGTTTGATTGTAGCGACCGAGCAGACCCTACGAAGCGAGCTGTAACACGAGAGGGAACCCAGCCGGCTGCCACAACCAAGCGGTTCGATGCCTACAACCAATTCACTCTCAACCAGGACAATCTGGTCACCACGACCAACCCTTTTTTTTCCGTGAAGGTACCATGACTGACACTATCGGAGGGGAAATAAACTAGTTAGAGCATGCAAGCAATTGTATCACAAGTAGCAATGGAGATGCTGAAAACTTATCCTGGAGTGCTTTCCATGCTTCGGAGCAAACTGTTTCACATTTCCCTAGCATTAATGCACTATTGCCACTTTTCCACGAAAATGCTTCATCTCCGTCCATGATTCACCATGGCATGACGATCATACAAGAGATCACCAAATACCTCAATCCCGGTCAAATTCCCGTATTATACGGGGACCAGCCTCTGTTCACCACTGGAAAAATAATCCAATATAATTGCCTGGAGTTATCAGAGGGAAAGTTTGTGATGATGTTTGGACACTTCCACACACAGCAAAATTTACTGCAATTAATAGGAAAACTCATGAAGGGTGGTGGTTGTGGTTGCGTGGGAGTTGCAGTAAATTCTTGAATCATTGATGTTGGTTCTGCAGAGGCTATTCAGACGGTAAAGTATTTATAATAAGTCTAAATTAGTATCACAATTTTCTGAGGAATCCAACTTTTGCAAAATGTGACGAATTTATTACTAGGTGAAGCACGTGACCAAATCTCGGCTGATGCACGAAATCACGTGCACCGTTCTGCACACTCTGCTGCACGAGGCTTATGACGATCTGCAACCTGATCATGCTGTCACATTTGATGATTTTCTAACGGAAATGGCAGCTAAATCTTCCACTTTCAAATACTGGGTGACACTTTTTAGTCTTGAAATTATTGGGCTAAATTTTGTAAGGTCAATTCGTTGTGGGGATTACAATTTGTTCAAAACAACACTCAAGCAAATGATGCTACGGTTTCACATTTTTGATCACAAGAATTATGCACGTTGGGTTGCAGTTCATTTGAAAGACCTCGAAGAGCTTCCAGAAAAGGCACCCTCCGTTCACCAAGATTTCTGCTCTGGTAAGTTGCTTAAACCCTGTAGGAGAAAAAAGTATTATAAATTGTACACAATTAATAAACATGATTACTTACTCTTAAAACAGGAAACTTTGTTGTGCATAAAACTGGAAACGCATTCTCTGGGCTGGCCATTGACCAGGCACATGAGCAGCACAATGCCATGGTGAAAGGTGAAGCAGGCGCTATAGGGCTGACGCAAGATCCCACCTCTCTCCGCAGGTTTTCAGTTGCGGGTCCACACGTGGGTTTTATGCTCTCTCAATATGAGTTTTCACATCCACTTTCTCTGCTCATGAAATACCACGAACAATATCCGTCTTTCCAAAGAGCACTTCTGGAGAATTGCGTCGCTTTGAAAGAGAGCTTTTCTCACTTTGGGAACCCTTTCCTTGAAGAGGGTGGGGAACTGTTGGCCTTGGATACACGAATCGCCACAAATCCGAAATCTGTGGAAACAGTATTGGCTGAGCGATAGCGAAGCCTATTACTCCAGTGATGATCAAAAAGTTTCGTGTCTGTCTGTCCGTCTGTGTGTGTGTTTGTCTGTAATCACGATAACTCGAGAATGGTTTGAGCTAGGTACCTGAAATTTTTAGTGTAGCTTTGTAACATAAAAAGCAAGAACTGTATTGATTTTGAGCCCTCTAGCTTAAAAATTGGCCTCTCACAAAAATCAGAAACATAAAACCTCAAATATTACTTTTAACTTTTTATTTTCTTAACACCTTCCTAAGACGTAACTCGTCAAAGTAGAACCCTATGGGCCAAAATTTTGTCCGTTTGGCTCTATCTCTAACCGTTACGTCGCCAGAGGGCGATTTCCACACGAAAATGACCCCAAACCCTTTAAATGTAGTTTCTTAGATATTTGATGGTCTCTGGTGGGGCAACTCGTCAAAATAAAATCCTGGGGGTAAAAGTTGTGTCCTTTGGAGCCGAAGGCCTGTCTACGACTCTGCCTTTTGCCCGACTCAGGTGTCAGCGCCGCAGGCCTAGGTAGATGTATGCCAGGCGCGTCGCAGCGTAACAGTGTTTCGTGAG